TGCCCTTCAGATCTGGAATTTAACCCACACTTGTGGCTTCCAGCCAAACAAAAGACAGGCATATGAGCTGAACTGTACCTGAGGTAGATACATTCCTTGGAGAGAACAATCATGGGAGAAAGGGGCTGTTTATGCAAGGGAGACAACACAGGGGACAGGAGTACATGGAGGGAAGAGGTAACTATCGTGAGGAAGTGGGAGGGGAGCTGTTGCATTGAGGTAAATTGTAGTCAATGTCATGAGACAATGTGTGTGTGAACTGTGTATGGTAGGTGAATTTGCTCTGTAAACTTTCACCCAAATCACAATTAAAAAAGTAAAATAGTACTAATGCTTAGCCAGCAGTTTTACTTCTATGGGTCTAGTGAATAGAAATACTTGTATAATAGTGCAAATATAAATGGACAAGGAAATTCATTGCCTCATTGTTTTTAACAGTGAAAAAAAAATGGGAGCAATCTAAATGTTGGTCATTTAGGGGAGTGGTAAAATTATGGCACTTCTGTACTGTGATGGACTGTGAAAGAAGTTTGAGGAAGGGCTTTGTGGTCATATAGGCACAGAAGGTGTGGAGGAATGTAAGCCAGACTGTTAATAACAGGCTTCTCTGGGTACAGGAATGGGAAGGGGTTGATGGGACAGGGCTTCTATCTTGTACAATTTTGGGAGACACTGTTCAATAGAATACACTGTAAATGGTGCTCCCATGATTTGTGTAATAGTAGGGGGAGGCTGAATGTGCTTTTGCTTTCTATTTTATAGACAAATATGTGTTACTTGACTTTCTTTTTTGCAAAGAGCATGTGTTCATTTTATAATTTTCAAAATTGACTCTGCCCACTATAATAGTCACAGATCCATGTCCACAAGGCTGACTCAGGAATAACAGTTGGCTTGAGTAGTATAAAGCTGCCAGGGTTTGAGCATTCGTCAGTCATCTAGGTATTGACATTACTCAGTAGTTGCATATGTCAGAATTGATTAAAGAGAATCTGCTGTTCTCATGGAAGGGAATGATACTGTAATTGTTACAAAATTTGGAGAAACTTATTTCAATCTGTTGACAATATCTTTGCCAGTCAGATCCATTTTCAGACTTAGAGGATCATGTGGGCAGTGCTTGACTTTTTACGTTGAGTGTGAAAAGTTAAGTGATCCACCATAATAAAATATTAACACAATTTTTATGAATTCTAGGCTGTTCTCAGTGCAGAGCATTTATCATATAACCACCATTTTCCTGAGCTTCCTGTTACTAAATATTTTATCTCACTGTCACCATTGTGTGAAAATCTTTGAACAGAAAATGAATACTGCATAATAGTTAAACCCATTAAGATGTTGCCATAGAATGTCAGATTAATGTGTCATCTATCAGAGTTTGTTCAGCAGCTTTTGCATAATACAGAAGAATTTAATAACAGTTGAAGTTAATTTTGCCAGTGAAATACAGAGAAAGAAAAATGTTTGAAATTTAAATTATGCAGATAGCTAAATTCTTAATCCTAAAATTTGAATCTCTTGATTTTTTGTAGCATCATACTGAGGCTTATAACAGTCATGAAACTGAATGTGTCTTTACTCAGATTGTTTTAAAACAAAATTTCTTTTGAACAGTTGAAGTACTCATAAACATCTTTTAGTGAACTGATGAAACATTTAATTTCCGGAATATTCTTTCTATGTTTCTTCCCCCTCCCATGGCATTTAATATCTGAAACAAACAATAATTAAATCACAAAAGTGACCTGCCTGTTTTGTTCACTGGAGACTTGACTGAATTAAATTTATTTCATTTTAACCAAAAGTCCTGCTAGTGAAAATTGGGAAAGGAGGGACATATATATATATATATATATATATATTGAGTACTTTGTGTGCTCTTTATGTTCAGTGATGAAATATATTGACCTTTACATTGTAAGCAATACTGACCTGAACGTTTCTTCATGTGATTTAAAAAAAAAAAAAAGGTAGGTAAGAAAAATGCTAGATTTTTTTTAAAAAAACATAATTATAGTAAAACCAGGAAGTGTGCAAGTAAGAAGGAGCCATGGTGGTTAAATGGTTAAGTGTTTAGCTGCTAACTGAGCTGTCAAATGCTGGCAGTTTGAACCCACCCAGCCTCCCTGGGAGAAAAGACCTGGCAATCTGTCCTGTAAAGATAACAGCCTAGGAAATGCTGTGGGGCAGATCCACTCTGTCACACTGGGTCACTGTGAGTCAGATTCCACTCGAGGGTACCTAACAAAAGCAAGGACAGTCAAAAATTAAGGATTTAAAAAAAAAAAATCACTGCTGTAGAGTTGGATCCGACTCATAGTGACCCCTCCTTGAGTTTCCGAGGTGGTATCACCACGGAAGTAGATTGCCCAGCCTTCTTTCCGAGGAGTGGCTGGTGGGTTTGAACCGCAGTTCAAATGCCTTAGGCACTATGCCACCAGAGCTCCCAAAGTAAGGATTAGCATGCAGATGTGATAGTGTTAACTTGAAAGATACTGAAGTGGTATGATGTTGAATTTCTTACAACCAGAGCAAGTATTTCTGAAATTATTTAACAGTCATTCAATGACTCCAAGTTGATTAGTCACATTAATTGATTCATGTAGTTTAGAGAACAACCACCAAAGTAGACGTCCTTGATTGAAAAACTAGCTGTCATCATCAGGAAGAGCAGAACGTGTGGGTGGGGGATGGAGGTGGGGGCGTGTCCATCTTTGAGTCATAGGGTGCTTCAGCAGTGCTTGTTTCCTGCAGTCCATAAAAACGTGAGTTGCTGTGTATTTAAGAGAACATGTGTACATGTGAGTACCTACAGTTAAAGTGAATGTTGTATGGGTATGCATGAATATGTGCAGTTAACCATACTTTGGGAGCTCTGGTGGCATAGTGCCTAAGGCATTTGACTGCTAACCAGAAGGCTGGTGGTTCAAACTTGCCAGCCACTTTTTGGAAGGAAGATTGGGCAATCTACTTCTATAGCTTACACTTACGCTCTGTGCTGTCTGAAATTTATAGCATTTTTTGTGTTCTGTGTTTGTTTTTTTTTTTTCATTTCTATTTTAAATGCTCTTGGTAAGTTTTAATATTAAGTTGAAAAAGTTTGTGAGCTGGTGGAGACTGGTTAATGTAATTAAGGCAGTGAGGAAGAGGTAGGCTGGCTAAGCCAACACTTTTAACAGCCTGGACTGGAGAAATCCAAGAAAATGGTGGAGGAAATAGAGGAAAGGAGAATCCTAGCTAACAATTGAAGAACCCTAGTGGTGTAGTGGGAGCTCTGGTAGCATAGTGCCTAAGGCATTTGACTGCTAATCAGAAGGCTGGTGGTTCAAACCCACCAGCCACTCCTGGGAAGGAAGATGGGGCAGTCTACTTCCATAGTGATACTGCCTGGGAAACCCAAGGAGGGGTCGCTATGAGTCAGGTCCGACTCGATGGCACATAACAGCAACAACAAGTGGTGTAGTGGTTAAGCATCTGCTGCTACCAAAAGGTTGGTGGTTCTCTGCAGGAGAAAGATGGAGCAGCCTGCTTCCATAAAGATTACAGTGTTAAAAGTCCTATGGGGCAGTTGTACTCTGCCCTTATAGGGTCACTGTGGGTCCCAATCGACTCTTCTTTGGTTTAGCTAACAATTAAATGTGATCTGAAATCCTGCTTCAGGAGATGCTAGTGAATGTCTTTCACTTGACTTGCCTCAGCATTTTAGATGTTTGCTAGTAAGTAGCCATGGGAGCTCTGGTAGCATAGTGCCTAAGGCACTTGACTGCTAACCAGAAGGCTGGCGGTTCAAACCCACCAGCCACTCCTCGGAAGGAAGGTTGGGCAATCCTACTTCCGTAGTGATACTGCCTTGGAAACCCAAGGAGGGGTCGCTATGAGTCAGGGCGACTGGACGGCATATAACAACAACAACAACAACAAGTGGTGTAGTGGGCCCCTGGGGATGGCCTCAGGGTCTCGGGCAGTCAGCTGCCACACCCAAGGCTGGCAGTTCAAACCCACCGGGCTGCTTCCCGCCAGGTAGCCAGGCTGTCTCTTTAGGAGTTCTGGTAGCATAGTGCCTAAGGCACTTGACTGCTAACCAGAAGGCTGGTGGTTCAAACCCACCAGCCACTCCTCGGAAGGAAGGTTGGGCAATCCTACTTCCGTAGTGATACTGCCTCGGAAACCCAAGGAGGGGTCGCTATGAGTCGGGGCCGACTCGACGGCGAATAACAACAACAACAGTAAGTAGCCTGAGGTGTTTTTTCCCCCCTTTTGAAAGGATGATGACAGCTTCATTTATCTTTCAGAAATGTAGAACTTCTTCCCTTAAACTTGACTTCCATGCATTATAAATAATAAATTCTGCATCTAAAATGGTTTAGGTTAAAGGAACAGTAGACTGTGAGTAGGAAGATCAGGGCTATTGCCACTCAGTAGAGTGTACATAACCTTGGACATGCCTTTAGAGGTATAAGAACCCACTCTCAGATCTGAGCAATGAAGGACTGACAGGTCTCCAGGGTAATTTTGCCGTATAAATTTCTGTAACAGCTTGAGTGTAGGCTGCATTTAGTGCATGGAATCAGGGCCTAGATCTTGAAAAGCTTTCTGCAAAACTCTAGGTGGGGTCATCTCCTACTCTGAGCATCTCCATCTAGTATTCATTACACCCATAGTTTGAGCATCTTGTTCCCCACCTTCCCTACCACCACCCTCACTAGCCTCCTTTGTCTAAACTAGTGTCTAGCAATAGTAGGTTTTCGGTACATTAGTGTTGATTGAATGAATTTTGCATAGTCTTTTGGAAGATGCTCTTGCCCTTTCTTTCATGCTTATGAATTTCCGAGACCACCATGGTAGCCTATTAACTGGTTAGCTTTTGTAATAAATACTGCAATCATGCTAATTTATTAGACCCCTTTTCTATGGCTGATACCTTAAATTAAGTTTCTATTAATGAAAGATATGATTACAGTTTTTTTAAATACTGTTTTATTAATGCTTTTTCACAGGGGTCTTGCCCCTCAGAATAAACCAGAACTACAGAAAGTGATGGAAAAGAGGAAACGAGACCAAGTAATAAAGCAGAAGGAAGAAGAAGCACAAAAGAAGAAATCTGACTTGGAAATAGAACTATTAAAACGGCAACAGAAGTTGGAGCAGGTAGGGGTGATTGGGGTAAAGGCTGTCTTTTTTGTACTGAGAACTAAGAATGTTGGTGCCAGCAGGATTTACCAGACATGTCAAATGTAAATGTTTATACCATGAAAGGAAGATCTGAGATGAAATGTTAGCAAATGAGATAAAACACGTTTAAGGATGACAAGGATTCTATTGAGGATCTCCGAATGGAGATCCAGTAGACAAAATCAAAATAGGAAAATATTGTTGAATCCACAGCAGAGTGTTGGGATTTCAAGCAATGTAATGAAATTCAACTTCATTAAAAATACAAGGCAACTGTGTCATTGATCTCAGTATTGTTTTCATAGTCTTGATTTTCAGATTCTTGTCATTTCTTAAAGAGCCCTGGTGGCACAGTGGTTAAAGTGCTTGGCTGCTAAACAAAAGGCTGGTGGTTCTAACCTACCATCTGTGGAAGGAAAATGTGGCAGTCTGCCTCTCTAAAGATTCACAGCCCTGGAAACCCTATGGGACAGTTCTACTCTGTCCTGTAAGGCCACTATGAGTTGGAAGTGACTCAGTGGCAGTTGGTATGGCTTTGGGGTTTGGGTCATATCTTAGGGTTGTTTGCAATAACAACCAATTGGTGTTTTTTTGTTTTTTGTTTTTTCCTACTGTGCAGAATTACCTAAAAAAAAAAACCCCAAAACTAACCTAACTCACTTCCAATAAGTCGATTCCAACTCGTAGCAACCCCCTTTGGGTTTCCAAGGCAATAAATCTTTACAGAAGTAGATTGCCCAGTGTTCTTCCATGGAGTGGCTAGTGAGTTTGAACCACGAACCTTCTGGTTAGCAGTCAGATGCCTTAGGCAATACACCACCAGAGCTCCTTAGAATTACCTAAGAACCTGTATAAATAGACATATTTTTTTAAAAAACAGACTAGAAGAGGATTAGGACATGAAGTTGTTAGGGACTTTGGAAAGAGAGTATTTTGAAAAACTTCTTGTTTTTTTGAAAATAATTCTCTTGTTTCTGGATTTTACTCAGCTTGAACTTGAGAAGCAGAAATTGCAAGAAGAACAAGAAAATGCCCCAGAGTTTGTGAAGGTAAAAGGCAATCTCAGGAGAACAGGCCAAGAAGTCGCCCAAGCCCAGGAGTCGTAGGCTGAGGCAGCCCAGAGACCTCATGTGACCCAGCCCATCACCTCACAGAAGCCATGTCTGTAGGTGCCTCCTCAGCACTTCATCTCAGGGCAGAGCCCCTGGAGAGATTTCCAGCCAGCAGAAAATTTTTACTTTAAAAAGGATTTGGTTTTGGTTTTCCTCCCCTTACACTCTGGGTGAATAAACTGCCTGTGACAGTTACAGTTCCTATTAGCCAAATGAAGGACATTGACCAGCATATAAGTTGGGATAATGGACCCGTGTTCAGAGACTTAAAAAAAAGTAAAAAAGGAAGAGGACACTGGAATAAATTTTTGAGAGTTGCACTACTTGGTTTTTCTTCCAAACCAAGTTTAGTGAGGCACAGAGCCTTTTTCCTTTTAAAAGCTAGAGGAGTTGTGTTTAATTCTTCTTTTGTCATCTCTGAGATAATTTAGATGGCATAGAAATGCATTTAATTTGTTACATCCAATACCTGTAAATTCTATTTTGAGAACCTGAAATTTTCTTGTTTAATTTATACTTTCACCCATATTGGAATACACACCAGAGAATATTAATGTTAATGTTGAGCACAGCTGTTATCGTTGTTGGCATTTAACTCAGAAATAGGGTGAGAAGGTTTGAAAATATGTGAACAAAAATATGCAAATATCTGTCTTGATCTTACTTTAATTCCTTTCAGATCTCTGTGTAACAGTATGCTACATGGTGACATTTGGGTTCAGATTGACATCATGTAAATCCATTTATTGTTTTGCTAACCTGTAGTAGTGGTTTTTGTTTAAAAATTTTTGGCTAAGCAACTCATTAGAGGTGAAAATTCTCCCAAGCTTTTGGAGAATGGAGACTAGTCCATATAACCCAACTTTAGTGTCAAAAGTAGAGGGACCAAAATCTCTTGATTTCTCATGAGAACAGTGTGGGGAAGGCTCCTACTGGGAGCTGGGTAGTGAGGAGTTCTTTGGATATTTTAATGTGAAACAATTATAGATCAGTCTTAAGGAAACTTAATTGGAAGATTTTTGGCATTTGTATGTTTGGAATATCTTTAGAATCTAAGCTTTGAAATTTCCAATTAATAGTCACTTATTTCTTTGTCTTTTCTTTTTTCTTGTGAAGGAAGACTTAGTGATGGTTATGCTGTTGATAATGATGGCATTGATGACTACTACACTGCATCTCTCAGGAAAAGCTGAGGGGAAGGGAGAGGCTGCTCAGTTTCCTCATTCAAGTAGCATGCTATTTGAAGTAAAGTCCAAGTTATGAGTATTAGCAAAATTCACATGCAGGATTCATTTTACACAGCTGTTATGGTCAGGAATACATTCTCCTTGGAGTGGTATGGAAGCATTTGCGTAAGTTCAGTGTGTTCTCCATACATTCATTCAGCCAGTAATTTCTACAGTCAAGATTCTTCTTGTATTTCCTTTAAAGGCTCATAGAAAGCTGGATCCCAAGCCTTTGAATCTTTAATGAGGGTGGTAGAAAATAGCTTTCTGTGGGAATGCTTTAGTTTAGTTTTAATAGTTGATGATTAGGCCCATATTCAGTCTTAATGTGAACGAGATAAAAGTAAATGCAATGATAATATACTGCTAGAGAAACATGTTAGTTGATTACACATGAAATGGATTATTTATCTCATCAGCAAGTATTATTTGAATAAACTATGAGAAGCTTAAGATAAAATGTTGCTCTATAATAGCTTGCTTTTGAAGATGGAATGGTAACTATTTTTTTCCATACTTCTTCCTTTTGAAAGAAGAAAATGTGATTGACCATCTTGAAAGGGCAAGTACATTTCTGATTGCTTATTGACTAGAGTTCTTTCTTTGTGTATATGGGCTAATGATGTGACTTTCAAAACAAAGATTCAGGACAGTGTCACATCCTTTTGTATAACTGGATTTTAGATCTTTAGGTCTGTACCCTTGAAATAATGCTGTCACGATAAAATTCTCAAGGGCTCTGACAGGTTCCTTTAGAAAGACCAATTCTGTTCCAATAATTTTGCTAGAATTCAGTCTTTGCTGAGGGAAATAAAAGTTACAAAAGCATTTTTTTTCCCAGTCTTACAAATCTGTGGAATTATATGTAGTTGGTACAAGGTCTGGCCAAAAGAAGACTTGTAAATAGCGTCAAGTGATGTTTATAACTACACAATGGAAGTACAAGTAGAGAAGCTCTTTGAAGTCGTCAAACCAGCTCAGGTTTAAGCCTGAGTTTAATAAGATGTTCTGTCACCCCTCACACCTCAATACTGTACAGTCCAAACCTCTAGGACTCGGAATATCTGAGCAGTTTGTGCTTTGGGCCACTTTTTGACAAAAATGGCTCCATTTTCCACTCTATAGTTTTCTTAAAATAGTTCAGTGTTTTATAGTCTCCTAGTAGTAGTGTTGCTTTCTAAGCTATAACAGTTAACTTTATTCTTCTACTCTGAAAAATCTTGACTTGTTTGAGTGTATATAATATATATAAAGGGAGCCTTAATGGATTTTTTTTCATAATTTAATATTTTTTGTATTTGCTCTTGTATAATTGTTTTTAATGGAAAGTATTACAGAATTGAGGTTGGAATTCTTAGAACCAAAGTTATTCTTAATAAAAATCACCACATGCTTGGACCATGCAACCATGTTTGTCTGATCTGTTTAATATGCATGTCAAGAATTGAAGGAGGGGTCGGGGTTATGCTCACTTCATGGATTAGAAGGTGGTTCCAGGGTTTTTGGTGACTGCCTCACTTTAACAGTCTTCCCCCCAAATCAGTTATGTTCTGTTGCTTTGTGTCAATCAAGAAAGTCTTGACTGAAGCAGATCTGAAAGATCTTTCAGAAGCAGATTGCCAAGCCTGGCTTTGGAAGTGCCTCTAGGTGGGATTTAACTGCCAACCTTCAGGCTAGTGAAAAGAAAAAGAAGAAAAAAATTACTACCATTGAGTCAGGAGCCCTGGTGGCGTAGTGCCTAAGGCATTTGACTGCTAACCAGAAGGCTGGCAGTTCAAATCCCACCCCCCAGCCACTTCTTGGAAGGAAGGTTGGACAATCTACTTCCGTGGAGATACTACCTCGGAAACCCAAGGAGGGGTCACTGTGAGTTGGTTCCGACTCAATGGCAGTGAGTGACCACTGAGTCAGTTCTGACTCATAGTGACCCTTTAGGACCCATTAGCACTACCTGCCTGCATAGGGTTTCCAAGGCTGTAAATCTTTACGGAAACAGACTGCCTCATCTTTCTCCTGCAGAGGGCTGGTGGGTTTAAACCACCGATCATTTGGTTGGCAGCCAAATGCTTTAACCACTGTGCCACCAGAGCTCCTTTTAGCTGGCTAGTAGTCAAGTGCTTAACCATTTGCTCCACCCACTAATATATAGATATAGGTGAAATAATGTATTCACACATTTGCACCAATACTTACTTTATTTATAAAAATATATGTGTGCTGAAAATCATGAGTTCATGTTGATACCTCCGATTTCAAGTTAATGGCAAGTTCTAGCTTCTCTAACAATGAAAACCTGTCTGCTACTATCCTTCATATATTTACTTATGTTTTTAGTCCCACTGCATGTATGTTAAAGGAGCTGTTCTGGTTACCTAGTGCCACTCTGACAAGAATATACCACAGATGGCATGGCCTTAACAGGAGTTTATTCTCTTACAGTTTGAGAGGCTAGAAGTCTAAGTTCAAAGTGCCAGGCTCTAACGGCTGGGTGAAAGCCCCTCAGCCTTGGTCTTCAGCTCTGCCTCCAGCTCCTGGCCCAATGAAGCTAGAGACATATCTCTATTCAGACAGCTGCTAGCTACTGAGGCTGACAAATACAAGGTCGACAAGTGAAAAGGCACAGTCCTGATGTTACCAAACCACACGGCAGACCATTAATTCAAGTCTGTTAGAAGTCCCAAGGTCAGCAGAGCATGGCAGGCTGCTGAACAACGACATAGTGACATGCAGGGTTCTAGTGTGCTGTAAGCTAGAGACCATTCCCAAAGCTGTTTCTTATATACGGGAAGCAGACCACATACCCAAAGCAGCTACTCAGCTGCTCCAATAGATTCCACCGTGGAGTTAATTACCAATCTCACTATGGGGAATAACTACATTCAGCTGCCCAGCCACTGGCCCAGTCAAGTTGACACACAAATTTAACCATCACAGGCGCTCTGGTGGGTGCAGTGCCTAAGGCATGACTGCTAACCAGAAGTTTGGCAGTTCAGACCCACCAGCTACTCTGCAGAAGAAAGATGGGTCAGTCTGCTTCTGTAAAGATTTACCACCTCAGAAACCCAATGGGGGTTGCTATGAGTCAGAGTTGATGCGATGGCAGTGAGTTTTGTGTGTATGTTACATGATCTCCTGGGCTTGCTTTGCACCTTCATTCAGACCGTTAATGACTTCCTGACGAAATTATTCAGGAAGAAAGGAAACACCAGTTTTTCTTGAGCATCTAAATATTTACTATGAATTTAATTAATTTTAAATTGTCTTAAACAAACTGCAGTTACAAATTTAGGATGCCTGGTTGTTTTGAATCTTTCAAACTCTAAACAGTACGTGAAACATACTTGAATATAGTGATTAACAGACTTTAAAAAAGAAATCTTAACATTTCATTTAACAGAATATATCTAAAATATCATTTCAACATGTAATTAGCATAAACATATTAATGAAATGTTTTACATTCTTTTTTCCGTATTCAGTCTTTGAAACCCAATGTGTATTTTTTTTGTTCTTTTCTTTCTAAAAAAGTAAGGTCATAAAATATTTGTCTTTTTGTGATTGACTTATTTCTCTCCGCATAATGTCTTCAAGCTCCATACATTTATAGTATGTATCTGTATTTCATTTCACCTACTGGCTGAGTAGTATTCCATTTATATATGAAGCACATAATGTTTGTCTCTTCATCTGTTGATGGGCATTTAGTTGTTTATACCTTTTAGCTATTGTGAATAGTGCTGCAACAAAAATCAAGACCACAATGATATACCATTTTACTCCCACTAGGATGGCTAA